TTTTTTTAAAAGTCTAATAAAACCTTTAAAAAATTAAAAATAAAATTAAAAAATAGGTGATTAAGGTAAGATGAGGTCATTAGGGTGGGCCCTGAGTCAGTAAGACGGGTGTCCTTGTAAGAAGAGAAAATCTGGACACCAACACACACAGAAGAGCCACCATGTGAAACCACTGCCATCTAACAAGCCGAGAAAGAGGTCTCCGGAGAAACCACCTCTGCCCACACCTCCATCTCAGACTTGCAGCCTCCAGAACCGTGAGGAAGTAACTGTTTAAGCTGCTCAGTCCGGGACATTTGTTACGGTGGCCCTAGCAAACTGGTGCAGAAGTTCTCTCTGATTCCCCAAGTCAGACCCTCACAAGATGGCGCCTCCAGCCCACCCCGAGTGTGCAGTCCTCACACAGGCATCTGGTGGGGCCCCAGGCTCCAGCCCCAAGACGGCTCACCTCAGGCCCAGACAAGCCTCCACTGCCCGTGCCCTCGGCCGCTCCCTCACCGGACGCAGGTCCTTGCACTCCGCCCTCGCCTAGAAGACAACGAGTGGGAGCTGTGTCCACTGCCCAGGGCTGAGGAGTCCCACTCCCAGAGGCACCCCCAATGGCCAAGGAGCACAGAGAGCCCACAGACAGCCCAGAGGGCATGCGGTTGGCGGTACCTGTGGCCCCAGAGAAGGGGCCTCCTGGCAGAGACTGGGGCTCTGGGAGAGATGTCAGTGAGAGGCCGGGCCCGGCCTGAGGGGGAGAAGATTCTCCGGAGGTCTCCTGTTTAGTGGAGAAAGAAAGGCAGTGTTGGTGATGCCAGTGGTTAACAAATTCATGCCGGCGGCTGTATCCCCACCATGCCCTCAACAGCGGCCTCAACCTGTGACCTGCGGCCGGGCACTCACCCCAAAACTCCACTTTCTTCCTGCCACTGCTCTGTTCAATGATCAGACAACCACTGGCCCCCTAAAGTTAATATTCTTCGTCCTAATTTTTAAGACCCTTCATCATCTGCCTTTGCCAATTGCCAGATGAGACCTCCAGGCCTCAGAGGTTCTGAGGAAACTTCCTCCAAAGGGCGGAAGCGTCCCTGCCCTCACACCCTCATGCTCACCTCAGAGTCGGGACTGTCGGACGAGTCTTCTCCAGAAGGGGATGCGTTGCTTCTGGGCTTTGAGCGAAACCAGCTGAACCAGCCAAACCCTGAGCTCTGGAAGGGAAGGGGGGAGATTTAAGGCCTGTGGTGCGCTCCTCCGGCCGAATAGATTAGCCGACCCCAGTCTGATGGTGGGTTGTCAGAGGCCCGGCCAAAGCCCAGATTCCCAACCCTGCCCCCCAGTTGGGGGTGGGGGGAATGATGGCAACAGGACAAGACCGCCACCTTTGTGTTCTCTTTCACATCTCCTAGCTTTTCCGTCTGTGCTGGATTTGGGGAGGATTTTTTATCTGCCTCATCGGCGGATTCCTCCTCATCCTCCTTGACTGAAACGGTGGAACTCTCAGAAACGTTTCGTGATCTGGGAATCAGCGGCACCTAGAATTAAAGAAGATAAGAACTAATATTTTCATAGCACTTGACAGGCCACAAAGGCAAATCACCAGCCCCGCTCAGTACATCAGCAGGCAGGCCTTCCAGGATCACACCTGACTGATGAGGACACACAGGGCTGAGAAGTGGTTTGCGGAAGGTCTTAGGACAAGGCCAGAGCCCAATCCCAGTCCCCGTGGTGTCCCTAACTGGATGGACTTTTGGCTGCCATGCTACCTCCCCACATCAGATTTCCACAACGATGCCGAGGCCTGGAGCAGAAGATATGGAATGCTACCGCTGGAGATGAAGAGTACAGGAAACCCCCCGTGGGGACCCACACACCCAAGAGGACAGAGACCGTAATACACTGGCCCTAACTCATCCTAGAGCTCATTCCTGGCAGACTTGCTCAAGATCAAGCGTGAACAAATGCACCAGAGGGCAGCAAAACGTGTCCATGCGCCTTTCTATTCGTGTGCGTGGTAAAATATACATAGCATGAAGTTTACCAATTTAAGTATTTTTAAGCATACAATTCAGTGACGTTAGTACATTCACACAATGTTGGCTAACCACCACCAATATCCATTTCCAGAACATCGGATCAACCTCAACAGAAACTCTGTGCCCATTAAACACTCCTCACTCTCTCCTCCCCCAATCCGCTAATAGCCTCTACTCTTTTTGTCCATTAATTTGCTTGTTCTAAGTACCTCATATAAGTAGAACCATATAACGTTTGTCCCTTTGTGTTATATTTACATTTTGTATTCAAAAAAAGGCATAGCTGGTACAACCTTTGGAAAATGCTTTGGCAAATCTAGAAAAAGCTTCATTTTTTAATTCTGAATATAGAATTTACTGTGTAGTAAATACCGTTTCCAAGCACTTTACATACAGTGATTCATTTAATCCTTACAATTGTCCCACGAGGTGGGTACTATTGTTATCATCCCATTTATATAGGAGAAAACTAAGACACAAAGATTAAGCAACCTAAGGCCACAGAGCTAGCAATTGGCAGAGCAAGGATTCCAACCTAAGCAGCCTCTCCTTCTAGAAATTTCTCCTGACTGAATAATTCAAGAAATAGACCAGGCTTACACGTCCATCACTAGAATGTCCACCGCTGTGTTTTACATGTGAAGAGAAGGGAAGGGAAGGCAATATGCAGTGAGAGAGAGAGGAGGAAAGAAAGAAAAGGAAGAGACACACACTTGAAATGTTTAACAATGCGGGAGTGGTGAGCGAAACTTGGGGCTCCTTCCTGTGGCCTACAAAGCCGTGTTGGTCTGGCCTCTATTGCCCTGGCCTTGCTTCTCAGCCCCTTGCTCCCCACTGTCTACACACAGTGAGTCCCTTGTTCCTTCCTTCACCTACCAAGTGAGTCCCATTTGACTTGCTACTCCCTCTTCCTTGAAGGATCATTCCCTAGACACCTCCCTGGCTCAGGTCGGCCCCCCATTCTGACCTGTGCTCCAGGCCTCCCCAGAGGTACCCTTGCTAGACACTCCATCTCAGGTAAAATCCATCATGCATACAGCGTTCATCTGCAGTCACCTCCACTAAACTGAAGGTAGGATTTGTCTGGTTCCCTGCATCTCCCCAACCCTGTGATAGTGCTACAGATACGACAGGATCTCGGGATTTGTGAACAAAGGAACCAATGAACGATGGTGCTTTCACACAATGGACTTTATCATACCAATATTAGAAATCATTTATGGGTGCTTGAGTTGGTTAAGCATCCGACTCTTGATTTCGGCTCAGGTTATGATCTCATGAACCGTGAGTTCAAGCCCTGCATCAGGCTCTCTGCTGACATTGTGGAGCCTGCTTGAGATTCTCTCTCCCTCTCTCTCAATCCCTCCCTCACTAATACTTTCCCTCTCTCTCAAAATAAATAAATAAATAAAACTTTAAAAATCATTTATGAATGACATGGAAAACCTCATTTTGTAGTATTAAATAACAAATAGGAAATAAAACTTCATATACACATTTAAGAACACATGAGCGATATTTGGTTATTTATATGATACTTTCTTTTTACTTTTCAAGTTTTCTGTAACAATAATGTACTACTTTTTCAGTCAGGAAAAAAAAAGTAAAGCATAAAAGTTTTTAAGTCCTGTGGCCAAGTACCTACTTGAGACATTTTTAGGTATAACCACTACGTATATGCTCAAACGTATACAATGTAAGCCTCCAACCAGGCAAAGCTGAAGAACATCTTAAGTTTGGGACCAGCAATGGCCATTGTTGGGGGAAGGGCTATCTATCAACAGCTAGATAGAATGGCCAATTAGACATGGCCACCTCCAAGACCTCCCAGCCTGAAGAGAAAAGACACAGCTGACAAAGGTCCCTCTTGGGGAAAAAAGCAAGGTAAACATTACAATAAAGAAATAAACATCAGGGGCGCCTGGGTGGCTCAGTCCGTTGAGTGTCCAACTTCCGCTCAGGTCATGATCTCACAGTGTGTGAGTTCGAGCCCCACGTCGGACTCTGTGCTGACAGCTCGGAGCCTGGAGCCTGCTTTGGATTCTGTGTCTCCCTCTCTCTCTGCCCCTAACCCACCCCACTCGCATTCTGTCTCTGTCCCTCTCAAAAATAAATAAACATTAAAAAAAAAAATTTAAAGAAATAAGCATCAGAGTCTCCCATGACAGGGCAGGGCGTGGTGAGTGTGTGGTGGGACAGTGAGGGAGGTGTCAGAGATCTCAGAGGCCAAAACTAAACTCAGCCCTGCCACCCCTCCCCCCATGGACACCGGTTGGCAGGATTGAACAGAAACAAGAACACGGCCCTCCTTCCCACCGCTAGGATTTGGTATAGCAAGAAACAAGGAGAGACAAGTTGCATTGTGGAAGGGAGAGCTGGGGCCAGGCAGAAGAAGGAGTTTGCACATGGCTAAGAAATCTGGGCAAATGGAAAAAACCTGAAGCATTAGAAGCATTAGAGGAGGTAGGCGTCAGCATCTCCTGTGCTTTGTCCTCTCACCTGGGGTTTGGAAACAGCCTTTTGACCATCCAGATGCTGGAAACTTCCTTGAGATACTATATTCTCTGTTATGGCACAAAACACAAACATAGTGATGTGAACTTGTGCTTTTCCCATCTAATCTGAAGAAGGAACGCGGCTACTGTCGGCTTTTCTAACTGCAAAGCAGCTGGAGGTCCCAGCCTATCCAGTCCAAGCCAATTGGATCGCGTAAATGCGAATCCACGGGCACAACCCTCTTCCAGCTGCCCCAGGACATGCTGGTCACCTGACCTCTACCCTGAACCAAGGCTGTTCCTTAGGAATCCTGGAAACCTGGGTCACGTGGAGCTAGTTCACAGGGTTCCTCCCTGACCTTCCCCTCCGTTTAAGTCTCCTGTTTTGGACAGGACCTTATCTTAGAAGGTCTACGATGTAATCCCCCTGTCTGGCCGCCAGCATTCGCTTGGTGACTCAGCACTGCTCACCACACTTGGGTGCAAGTGGCATTTTCCTCCCTTCTCCACCCTGCAGCCTCTCTCTTAGGAACTCTGCATCCAAGGGGAGGGCAGGAGTGACCGCTGTGAGCCTCACTATGCTTGTCCAGTGGAGAGGCAGGCTGCAATGGAAGGGCAAGCCCTCGGAGGCACGCAGAGTCCCAGCCCCAGGGCTACCACAGAGCAGGCCCTCAGTCAGGTGCACACCAACCATTCAGGGCTTGATCAGCTCTGACCCCACCTCTGACCCCGCCCACCTCCATCATCTGCTTCCTCCCCTTCGACCCTCCTCACCCCAGGCTTCCAGCCTGGCTGGCAGGTCTTACCAGGAGGTGGATATATCTGCTGGGTTTCTTCCCAGGCTTCTCCTCCAGGAGGGCCTGTCACGGCCATACAGCCACCAGTCCCTGGCAGACAGACCTCAGGAACCGGGTAAAGAGGCACGGGGACCCCCAATTGCCCCACACCTCCTCCTGCTGGACAGGCACTGGGCTGGTGGGGAATGGGGTGTTGTGAGCTGGGCTGGCCTGGCCCCATCTGCTCCAGTGTTGGCCACAAGGCTCTGCGGTCCCCAAGGGCTTCTGAGTGGCTCTGACGTCCTAAAAGATCATGGTAGAAAGTGTTTCCTAAGGACATAGGGCAAAGAAGAAGGACTGAGACCTGCAATGTGACATTAGCGTGGACCCATCACACCAGGGTCATTCCTGCCATGTCCTCTTTGAAAAGCAGTCACAAGGACAGGCCGCTTGATGTGGCTGCCATTAATGTGATGACAAATACAACACAGCAGTGATTGTAACACCTGTCACTGCTTGTGACTTAGAGTTTACAAAATTATTTCCCTCACTGCCTTGTATGATCTCTGAGCCTTGAACCAGCACATCAGGAGGATAGAAATTACCTTCCTTGTTTCACTCCACACTTTTTTATTTGGGGGTAAACTTTCTCCTTTAAGGATTTCCTAATGGACTTGGGTGTTTGAAGCTTAGAAAGTTTCCATTAAAACCCAAATCAGAACCACAGAAATGAACCAGAGCATCGGTCCCAGAAGCGAGTGTGATGGGATTCCTTCTGGCTCTCCCACTTTGCTAATGAGATGGGCTGTGGTGTGGATGACTGGCTGATGGTCACGGGGCCAGTGGGGCTGCTGACCCACATGCTCAATTGGGTGACAAGGGACAGGGCTGCTTGCCGGTGGAAGCAGCACTCAAGAAGCCCTGGCCTGGTTCCCCTCCAGGCCTCTGCCTGGAAGGTGCTGGAATACAGCAGCAAAGCTGAGAAACAGAAAGCAGGGCCCGCTTTCCTCGCCTTCCCCCAGCTCATCCTCTGTGAGGAAGACGCCCGCGGGTGGGAAACGGCTGGAAATCAAGAGATGACACCCTGTCCTGACCCCACCACAGGGCAGAGGGCTGTGGTCACTTGGGGAAAGGGCCCAGAGCTAACTGGGGGTAATAATGCTGGCTGGACCCAGCACTCAGGGGCATCCTGAGGGGAAAGGAGGGATGTGCTGGCAACATTTTGAAACATTTGTCACATGTCTATAGCAATTGTTAGCTCAAAAATCGAAACTGATAGCTCAAAAAAATCTTCCTATGTTTCCAACACCTACATGAAACACAGACAATCCACCCTCTCTGGCCTCAAGAAACTCATCAGCTGGGGAGAAGGTACGGAGGCAGGTGAAACAATGAGATCACGATACAACATGGTGAGCATTAAAACCTGAATGTGAGGCAGAAACTCTAAACATGTGGGAACTTAGAAGTGTCAGGATGGCTGTGGCCAGACAGAGCTGTGGGGACAAGGTCAGATTTGTACAGGCAAGGAAGTACCCCCCAGGAAGGGCCAGGCGAATATTTTCTAAGTTCTGTTATCTCTACGATCAGGCCCAGAGAGTCAGCCATTTGCACTCAGGTCATCAGCACGGGTACCTGTTGTTCCTCTGACTCCAGAAGCATCTGAGTGAGCAGGACAAAGATCCCCAGTGTCTCCTGTGACCTTCTGCTATTAAACACAAAGTAAAATCTTTTTAAACTACACAAAGAAAAGCAAGAACAGGGAACAATGGTTTAAAATTAAGTCAAGGGGCTCCTGGGTGGCTCAGTCCGTTAAACATCCGACTTTGGCTCAGGTTTGTGAGTTTGAGCCCCGCATTGGGCTCTGTGCTGACAGCACAGAGACTGGAGCCTGTTTCAAATACTGTGTCTCCCTCTCTCTCTCTCTCTGCCCCTCCCCTGCTCACTCTCTGTCTCTCAAAAATAAATAAACATTTAAAAAAAATTTTTTAAATAAAAAAATAAAAATTAAGTCAAAAAGAAACTTCAGAGGGAGTGATGAGGTATGAGAATCTGGACCGGATGCTGAGGGCTGGTGGGGGAGGGGCAAGGGCAAGGCCTCAGCCCTGCATCTCTCCTGGGTGTGCTCAGAGCAGGCAGGGACCAGGAGACCAGCATCTCCCAGTGTCTCCCCACAGAAGGGGCAATGGGAAGGGCCCCAGGGCCCCGTGCATGCAGCCCATGGGAGTCAGGGCTGTGTGTGCCTTGAAAAATCCACCCTCTCCCGTCGTTATAGAGATTGGAAGAAAGAAAATGGAGGCAGCCCTGTTCGAATTACTGGTACAATTACTACCAGCAGCTTCTGCAGTTGTCAGAACAAAAAGGAAAGGTCCGGAAATCTTTTAAGCAATTGCCCTACATTACATGAAAGTGACACGAGTCCACTGTGATCCATTGTTCCTAACAGAGAGATGAAAGCTTTAATGCTCATAAATGTAGCTTCTAGGACCACAGACAAGGGTGATTGGCAAGAGGGCCCCAGGGCCTCACAGGCAAACCCAGGAGACCATCTCTGCCCGAGGGACAGGCAAAAGCTGGGGGGCTGAGCGCCACCCCCTCCCGGGTCAACCTGTGTCTCGCGGATGGGGGACTTCATGCCCTCCGTGGGGTCGGGGACTTGCCAAGGTCAGTGCTCTGTTCCAGGGGAGCGGAGAGAGAAACAGAGGTCTCACCACAGTCCCGGCTCCAACCCCGCTCACCACCAGCTCCTTGAGCCGCCTCCGAAGCTGCACCAGCCAGTCTGGCTCCAGGTCCCGGTCTCTGCGTCTGTCTACAACCAAGGGATCTGACAGCTTCAGTTTCTCCGCTAGCTGTGCCCGGTTCCCAGCCGGGTCAGGGGCGAAGGTAAGAGAGGGGAAAGCAGACATAGATGATGGGGAAAGAGGCAACAGGGGAATAGGAGAAAGACAGTCTTAACTCCCTTGCAAATTAGATTACCAAATTAGATTAGATTATGTTGAAGCTGCAACATAAATAAACAATTAACCCATCTTGGTGTTAGATATGCAATAAAATATAAGAAGAAACTGTTACCCAGCTTTGTGTCTCTGCAAAGTTGTATCCTCTAGTACTGCTTCTCAAGTACTGCTTCTCAAGTACTGCACTTGGGTGCTCCTAGGAATCACCTGGACTGTTGCTAAAATGCTAATTCCAATCCCAGAATTCCATGGGGCGGGGACAGCACCTCCATTCTGAGTCCCTGAGCGCCCTACATTTTTCAGGGGCAGGGGGCTCAGCACCACAGATTTTATTGGCTGCTGAATCCAACAGTTGGACCTTGTCTAAAGCAAAGCGAAAATTGACAACAGGCTGTCTTTTTACTCTCCAGCTAATGGATTTTTCTTCAATTAATTGGCACTATTTGCCCAATCATTTTCTTCCCCTGGAACTAAACATTGATATGTTATGTTGTCGTTTTTAAACGTACCCCACATGTGATAAAGTATTCCATGCATTTAAAAGCATTTTAATAAGGCTCATTTCCTGTTTTAATCACTAAAATATATACTCTAAGTCCAGCATTTATAATTAGAATGGCTGACCGGAACATGTGGTTTTACTGTCCCAGAAAAGCGGATGCAAGAATAAATTCCTGGCACAGCACACGCCTGCTTTCCAGCCCCCCAATCCCACCAACCCCCGCCCACTGCCTGCTTCTTTGTGTGGTGTCAGGACTCTGCTTATCATGCCTGGGCATGCGTACGTGGTCAAAGACAGCCATGGGCTCCAATTTTCCAGCATGTTCAAAGGAGATGGGCTGTGGAGTCTAAGCCGCTTTCACAATAGCTTTCTCTGAACACCGAAGATAAAACACCTGCAGAGAACCCTTTGAGAAACTCACCTTGATGAGTTCCACTAATAGCACAGGGTGATCGCTCTCTCCTTGGCTAAGGAGGGCCGTGCCAATGGCTTCGCAGTAATGCAAGGCCGGAGACGCAAGGCCATAATCTGCCAGACGGGAAGCATAAAGGAGCTTATACACCTGTGGAGAGAGCGGGGCCAGTGACTAGTCCATCCGGGCAGGATAGAAGGAGAGACATGTAGATAAGTCAGCTGACTGCCAGCTTCCGCTAACTCTGCCATCCAAAATATCAAGGAGGGCCTCGTGCCATTTGGTTTACTCTGTCTGCCTAGGGGCACAGTTGCAAATCCAGCCTGCAGGTCACACATCGCTGAGAAAGGGATGGGAGTCACATCAGTTCAGTCTCTGGAGACCGAGTCACCACGGGAATGCACCAGACTAGTTACTTCTGATAAGCAAGCCCACGTAATCTGGAAAGCCTGGCATTTGTGGAGCATAGGACCAGGCACCGGGGGAGACATAGGAAAGAAGAAGAAATGACTCTGACGCAGGCAGACAGCTATTTACAGAAGCATGAGGGGCACAGCAAGGTAGAGCCATGAGGGTTTGGAAATCAGACAGGCCCAACTTCAAATCCCAGCTCTACACTGGGTGCGCCACATTGCGCTGGTTACCGCACCTCCCTGTGCCTCAGTTTCCTCACTACAGCACGGGGACAATACTATTCACCCCTTGGTTGTTGTAAAGATTAAATGAGACAATCCATGTAAAGTTCTTAGAACAAATGGCAGGCAAGAGCTAGGAGCCCACAGCATGTGACTCCTCTCTTCAGTTTCCCGTTTGGCAAAAGGAAGGGAGTCACGCCCACCTCGCGGGGTTAGAAATAATAACTCAAAGCACAATAGCGCCCTGCTGGCACATAGAACACACTCGCTAAAGCTAACTTCCTTCCTGTCTGCCCAAAGGTGACTGAAAGGTGGGATGACCAAAGGAGAGAGAGAGAGAGAGAAGAGAGACCTGTTCCCAAAGGAGCTCATCTGCTCGGCTTTGCTGGGGAGGGAGAGTCTTCGGTAAAACAATGAAGGAAGCTACTATACATGAAGGCGGTCATTTTCGAGCATTTTTGTGCTTTTTGTGTCGTGGGCTGTGAGTGTGCGTGCGCGTGTTGCGTTGCCAGGCATACTCTCCACATGGGCACTGAAGGAGTCCCGATGAATTGCAGGTGTAACATCAGGTCATCAAGCAGAGAAGCTGAGAGAAGAGTAGAACCTGCAGGGCCCTCGCCCCCCGCACAGCGGAAGCCCCGAGGGGAAGACAGAAGGGCGAGGGTAGGGGCGGAGTGGGGAGGAATTTGCGCAGCTAGGAGACTCAAAGAGATGGGAGGAGCACATCGGAAGGAGGGAGCAGGCTAGGCAAACCCCCCTGGGCTGGGCCTTCCCGCTCCAGCCCCCC